TGCTAACTCGTCTCTTAGGATGAATTTTTAGAATTGAGCCTCTTGACCATGAGATATGCTCACAAAAAGAAATAGGTGGATTTCTTTTTTTTTTTTTTAACACAAGTAATCCATTCTTATTGAAAACGTTGAGGGTATATACTATAAAAATTTACTTCCAATCCTAAAGGTAACCACTGATAATAGGTGTGTATCTTTTCAGACAATTCATTTATTTATTCATTGATATAACAAAATTTATAGAATAATCACAATGTGCCATACTTTGTACTAGTCACTGGGGATACAGAATTAATCAAAGTAGTCACAGTTAGCGCATTCATGGAGCTTAAGATTTTAGGAGCAGACATCTTAAATTATCTACAAATATATATATACACTTACAAATTGTAATAGGTATGCTGAATACACGTAGTAAATGGTTTGATGAGAGACTACAACAGGACTTCTTAATTTACATTAATATGTTGAGGAGAGTGAGAAGGTATCAGAGAAAGTTTTTTCTGGAGAAGTAATAGATAAATTAAAATCTGAAGAGTAAGTGAATTTAGCAAATAAGAATGTGGGGAGTGGGGCGAGGGAGAAGGGTTCTGGATTGAAAGACAAGAGAGAGTGTTCCAAGTTCATGGAGCACAATTTGTGAAGTCCTTGAAAGTGAAGTTGAATTTGGTGTCTGAAAATGATCCAGCATGTCTGAGACAGATAAGCAAGTGGGGACATATTAGAAAAGTAGGCAAAAATTAGGTCATGGAGGGCCCTGAAGGCCATGTTGATGTGTGATATCCATTCTAAAAATAATGGGAAGCTATTGGAGTATTTCCCCCGTTAAACTAGTATACACAGTATGTCCAGTTTAGGTGGTTACATGTCGAATATGGTCTGTCGGTACCCAGCACCATTTCCACCATTTCTCTGTATTGCAGGGGCCTAGATGCTTGGAAACCTCATTCTCCAGACTCCCTCTCCAGCCAGCTGGTATCCAACAAAGTACAATGAAAGGCACTGGTGGGAAGTCAGAAGGCAGCAGGAAGGCTGACTCCATCAGCAGCAGCAAGAGGTGGTAGAGGCAATCAGGGGTAGAGACAGCTTCTGAGTGGCAGCAGCAAAAGCCATGCTTCCACAGCCACATGGTGAGCAGTGGACAGGTCACTTCTTGGTTCTCCCATTACTTCCCTTTTTTTCCTTTTGCTCTACCAGCCCTTCCAGTGCTTTGGCATATAACCCGCTGCACTAAATCCCTCTACTGAAAATATTTAGAGTAGTTTCCGGTTTCCTTTCTAGACATTGACTTACTGAAGGAATCGTATATTTTATTTTCTTTGTAATTGTGGTAAAATGTACATAACATAAAATTTATCATCTTAATTATTTTAAGTGTATAATCCAGTAGCAGTAAGTGCATCCACATTGTTGTGCAACTAATCTCTAGAACTCTTTCATCTTACCATACTGAAACTCTATACTCATTAAATAACAACTCACCTTTCCACTCTGCTCTCAGCCATTGGCAACCATCATTCTACTTTCTTGCTTTATGCATTTAGTCAAATTCAAGGTGCCTCATACAAGTGGAAACATATAGTATTTCTCTTTTTGTGACTAGCTTATTTCACTTAGCATAATGTCCTTGAGGTTTTATTCATGTTGTAGCATCTGTCAGAATTTTCTTCTTTTTTAAGAATAACTAAGATTCTAATGTATGTATATAACACCTTTTGTTTATTCATTCATTGATGAACACTTAGGTTGCTTCTACTTTTTGGCTACTGTGAATAATGCTGCTATGAACATGTATTTATAAATATCACTCTGAGACCCTGCTTTCAATTCATTTCGGATATATACACAAAAGTGGAATTGCTGGATCATATGATAATTCTATTTTTAATTTTTTGAGAGACCGACATACTATTTTCCATAGTGGTTGTACTATTTTACATTCCCAATAGTGCACGAGGGTTCTAATTCTCCACATTCGCACCAGCACTTGTTATTTTCTGAATTATTTTGATAGTTGCCATCTTACATCCTTTTTCTAAATATGTATTGCACCAAGAAGTCTCTTGAATTCAGAAATGGGTTATGCAAAATATAATGAACAATTAAATATCAACCTGTCTCTTGGGGAAGAGCTGGCTGGCTCTCTGTACTTTCTTTTTGGGAGTCCTAGACCCAGTCTATTTGTTTTTTCCCTTTACTCTTCCCACTTCTCCTCACACTCCTCCCATTAACAATTCTTTAAACCTAAGAGAATGAAATAAGTACACTTCTTAACTGTACTTATTTCACATTTGCTTTCTCTCATAATGAGTCTGCTTACTATTTTAGAAAGGGTTTAACTCATGCCTTGTTAATAATTTCAAATTATTATTTGGGGTAACAGTTTTATTTTTTTTGTTTTTTTGTTTGTTATTTTTGTTTTTCTGGTTTTTTTGTTTGTTTGTTTTGTTTTTGTTTTTTTGTTTTTTTTTTCCAGAAAGTGTAAGAAGGAAACTCAAAACACCTGTTAGGAATATGCAAACAAGATGACTAAGACCCTTCTCTTATTAAGGAAGTATTTAGAATCTTTCAAAAGCACTTGTATTGCTGGTTCTGACTTGAGATAACCTGAACAAAGAAAGCCTGGGAACCAGTGCTTGGCACTCACCTTTCACACTCTTCACAGCCAAGACTCAGACGCCTAAATGTCTCCTGGGCACAGTTGCATCTCTGACAGCCTTACTCTCCGTGGGCATATTTTCTTGATTTGAAACATTCCTTTTTGTATTTCTTTAACTGTGCCTGAATCAGAAGGTCTGAAAAACTTGGCTAAGTGTGGGCTAAAGAGTCAGGCACCCCTAGATTCTCAGCCAGCCAGTTCCCAGCCAGATGACTTTGAGCTGGGATCTTAAGTGCAGAGCTCCAGTTTCCTCATCTGTGAAACAGAAATAAAGCTTCCTGCATGCCAGTCTACTGTGATGATTAACTGAGGCAGTGGATATACACACTCCTGGCATGACACTGCAATAACAGGCGGTTTAAACATGAATAACACATTTTATTTATTCTGTACAGAAATAAGATAGGTTGATGGTCATTATCTGAAAATAAAAGCATGAGTGTGCCTATTCTATGAATGGATTTAAAAGGCCTTGACTTTTTAAAGAGCTCTCAACAGTTATACTGGCTGTCTCTTGTTTTCAAAAAACTAAGCTTTATTTTTCAAAACCACATATTTGTTCAAGAAACATCTCTAACATTTTTTTTTCTGGAAAACATCCACTTTTACTTTTGTATAGTCTATAATAGATTCCTGTCATGTCCTGTTAGCACAGTGTTTGTGTGTATATACACACACACATACACACGCATTCTATTCTTTTAACTATTACCATAAAATTTATAAAATGACTTTCATGTGTACAACTTTTACCAAATATTTCCAAAAATGTATTTTAATTTTCGACATTCACAGAAACCCAATGCAGTAGTAGGAAAAGCAGGTCTTATTTCCCTGGTTTCACAGATGAGATTTTGAGAGGTATGTGACTTGCCTGAGACCTCAAAGCCAGCACGGTTGTGGAGCCAGAACTCAAACCCAGGCCTTGGGTTTCCAAATCCCATACTGTGTCCGCCACATCTCACCGCCTCCCCACAGGGCCATGCGGTGGAGGGCTGCTGGCGAAATGAATGGAAAAGAAAGCAGAAATGTAAGGCTTGAAAGCCTTTTTGGAATTTGGAGGGACTAAGTATTAGCAAACAACTGAAATGTCATGCTCAAAGTCAAAAAGAATTTACCGCATTGGGAGTATTCGGATTGCTTCAGAATTTATAGGTATATTCTTTAAAACAAAGAACCAGATCTCCACTTTCTCAAGCTTGTTGTTCTTATGTCCCAAATACTAGATTCTTCTTCTTCTTTAAAGACTAGATTTATAGCTTAAGTATATTTCCTGAATACTTCTTCCTGTGCACATTTTCTATTTTTAAAAATCAGCATTTATACCTCATATATTTAATTCTTATACTACTGACATTTAGAAAGGATGTGAGGAAGTTTCTTTATATATCTGGCATTGTGGCTAAGAAATAAATGAACGAAGAAATTCGTTTGGATCTACTTTCATGTGTCATACTTACTTATTTTTCAGGCTTTTCTAAAACCTCTACAACTGGCCAAAATTGGAATAATTATATTCTAAAACAATTGGCATTATATTTAAGAAGCAAAAAAAGTTCATAATTGTTCTCCACCAGAGAATTTATCATATGAAAATACCACTCTTCACATTTCAAGCCTGTGTGAACATTTATGAACACACAGAAACAATTACATACATGAAAATTAAAATACTATTATACAAGTGAAAAACAGAAAACCTAAACTTTTAACAAAATGGAATGATTGAAGAAATTATAGATCAAACCTGCTGCAATACAGAACTACTGCTATATGATTATTTTGAAGAATTTTAGCAATATGCAAGGTTTGCTTGTTTTTTTTTTTTTTTTTTTTTTTTTGCCACAGTAAAGAAAGAAAACACAAAATTATGTCTGTCCTCTGATTATAACTTGATAATTTGCACTGGACAAAGACTTAAAAAGATCATAGAAAATTTAAAGGGTTTGTTTTTTTTCCCTATCTGTGTAATTAAGAGAAAAATAAGAAACAGAACTCCTTTTGGCATGCACTATATAAAACTGAGTAGGAAAACTGTAGGTTGCTCTGTCCTAACTAAAATGGATGTTGTGGACATGGAGTGATACCAAGGACGTGTATGTTGCACATAAGCACTGGCTGTACCACGCGGGGAAAGTTTAGAACGATGAGCAAGAGATACTGTAACTCCTTATGGACTAAGGGTTATCCCTATGTCATCTCAAAACAATATAAACATGCTCTGCATTCCATGTATCTGTTTGGGCATCAAGGCCCCAGACTTCGTATCTTTAAATCATTGGATCCCACAGGGAAACTAAAATTGCATGAGAAGGGAAAATACCACACAGTGGGAAAAATAACCATTTTTGTAAGTCTTTATTTTTTTAGTTGCTCCTCCCATAGTAATGCACTGAAAGGCATAACAGTTTATATTGTACAAAGCATTTGAAGAAAGTACCTCAACTTGCCGATTATTTCAAAATGAGATTACAAACAAAAAGAAAACAAATCTGGTTCCTCAATAAAGGGCAAAATAACTGAATACAGTCTGTTATTTACGTCTCTCTTTTAACATAAGGTCTGGAACACTTCATTTTACAAATAGGATTAACATGAACATAACATCGCACAAGCTTGCAGACATCCAGCATAAAATATGGGGTACAGCTTTTAATCAGAAGAATCATGCTTTCATGAAAGAAATTATAATCGTTTATACAATTGAATCGATTTCAGTATTACAAAAACTAAGTTGCATCTATTCGTATTTAGCTCATTAAGAAGGAAAACAAAACAACAACAACAACAAAAAAAGGAATGTTAAGAAAAGCCAAACACCATTTGGCACCCCCATACACAGGTCAAGTCACCTTGGTCCTTTGAAATTCGGAAAGGGGTGTGCCTCGGACGTCAGAAAGTAGTGGCTGAGTGGAACAGTGCTATTTTAATCAACAAACAATAGTTTGCCAACAAATAAATACATGATACACGCAACACAAAAAAAAATTAAACATTAAAAAATAGTGACATGATTGTCTAAAATTAAGATGTTATTACAGGATTTGGCAAACATTTATTAGTGTAGTGGTACAGCGGTACTGGTGATGAACAGGTTACTTCACTGACTTAACCTCTTTGAGCATTGAACATCCATAGTTTACAATATACACATACCCTTTTCCCCTAATTTTAAACAAAGTACTTAAGAAGGCAAAAGTTAATGGGAAACAAGTACTCCCTGTTATCAGTTTCTATAATAATTGAGTGTGCATTTCATCCAACTACTTCCGTCTTCAAAGGGTTAAATTACATAAAACTTTAACAAAAAAAAAAAAAAATTAAATTTGCAATTACAAGCAACTGTTCCCAATCATGTGTCAGGTGATCTTGTACAAAAAAAAAAAAAAAAAAATTCAGTTTCTATGGAGTGTTCATTCGTATCAATGCTGCCATCTCAATTGTCCCTCTCACCCACCCACGCCCTAGGGCAGGGCAAACTGGAAGATGCCTTCTGCCCAGCAAGTTTTTCATTTTCATTGAATCACTTTAAGTCGCATTGATTCTCCAGAAGTCAGCAGCTGCCTTTGCTGTGCAAAACAAAATATCGAGAATAAATAGTTTCTTTTTCTTCCTTTCTTTATCTTTCTTTCTTCATTCCTTCCTTTTCTTCTTTCTTTCTCTTTTTTTTAATCATTCAGTTTAAGGTCACCGGACTTTAAATGAGTGACCCTTCAGGTTTCTAAGGCATTCTGCTCAGCAGTCTTTTAAATAGTCCTATATGAAAGAGCCATGCTACTGTTGGACTTGGTCCCACTCCGGTCGACCTTGGTAATGTCATACGTGGCTTATAGACTGAATGGCACTGGATTCTGCTGCGGCCCTTGCCATACTGTGCCACACGGTGGAAGAACTGTGGGATGTAGAATGGAGGGACTCCTTCTCAGACAATGACAACATCATAGCATATGCCTGGGGTAAAAAAAAGGAAAGACTCAATAAATGGCATTTGAAAAACCTCACTTTTAATTTGAAGGACACTACTGATAAATGTTAGAAAGAGAAGGGATCCTGAGGAGGGCATCCCTCATGGGTCTGTTTATAAAAGGGTGGATGTGTGCATGTGCATGTGTGTACGCGTGTGTGTTATAATGACTTGGAGTTACTGCTGGCCTTCAGTGTCTGGGGAACAAAAATGTGATATGATCTACAGAATAAAACACTGATTTGCCTACCCTAAATGTTAATTGTGCCTCCATTAAGAAACGGCAGTCACCTCCCTCCCGAAGTCATCTATACACTGTTCATGCACATGTTCAGCTCACCAAAAATAGCATTGTGAGCTTATGACAGAAACTGCAAATATGAATAAGATATAGACCTGCCATGAAGCACTGTGGTCTAGTAGAGGAAACAGTCCCATCAACTCCTGTGCTTGATTGCACTTTACAATAGAGAGCACTGAAAGTGAAATGACTTGCCCAAAGTCACTAAACTAGATAGAGGGGGAGGCATAAAAAAATCTTATTTCTGCCCCACTTTTAGTCCAATGTTCTTTTTCTGTTCCCCTCCATGCTTGAAGTTTCAATGCTGACACCCCAAAACCTTGAAAGTTTAGGTAGATCAAGTCAGCTCTACCAAAAAAATGAAACAAAATGCAAGACTCGACAACGTTCTAACCCACTTGTGCTCCTATGTCTGCTGACCAGAAGGTGCAGGGAGGTCCTCTGTGAGGAAGTGCTCTTCCTTCCCTATTATCATGTCAGAGTCTAAGTAACTGTTCGGTGAATCCCCCATTTGCTGCCAAGGAAAATATTCAAATGAAAGGTTTGGTCTTGACTTGGGAGTGAACTTTTCACTGTTGATTTGCTATTGTTGGTCTCATCCATTGCTAAACTTGCTTGTCAAAATGCTGCTGAAGTGGAATCATTAAAGTCCTGCCAAAGACATTCCACTGTCTGTAAATAAAGACAAAATGCCTCTGTTGTTAAGCAGAATTTCATCTCTGGAAGTCATGCTGAGACATGTGGCCGGTCTGTGGTTTCTTCCGTAATCATGGCATTCAGTTAGAAAATCTGCCCTTGCAGGCTGATTTTGATTTGCTGGGTGATTGCTCTAAATGTACACATTTGACTTTTATGTATGCAATTTGCCTTCTGGACCTCTACAAAAATCTCAGCAGACATACAACAAACATTTCTTAAGCATCTATTCTGTTCCGGGCACTGTGCTAAGTCCTAGAGATTCAACGATAAATAACAGAGTCCCCATCTTTTGTACAGTTTAAAACATGAAGTGAACATCGAACTTAAATCATCTATTCTAATTAATGTATCCACTTTCAGAGAGCAAGATAAAGATTATTTTGAAATGGGTTTAACAAAACTCGTTCCTATATTTGGAAAGATGAAAGGAAGTACAGAGAAAATTTTGGAATCCTGAATTTTAATTCTGGCTTCAAACCTGCCTCTACTCAACTAGCTGTGTGACCTGGGGCAAGTTGCTTAACCATTCAAGGTCACTTCCCTCAATTAAAATAGGGATAATAATAACAAAAACTTGTCTCAAAGGGTTATGGAGGAATCACAAGCACTAACTTACATAAAGTGCTTAGATCATTGTACCTAACATAAATAGTATCTATAATCATGAAATTAATTTTTGTAGGATAAGGTTTTTTCAGAGAAGATTCAGGTACAATGCAGCTACTGTTGTATTGGTCAACAATTTTGGATTGCACCATTATAAAAATCACAGAGTGCATAAATATATGAATGTTTTGAGTAAAACATCTGAATTTATTCAGATTCTAGAAAATGGCAAGTACAGAATAACTGCCTTTTGGTAATCAAAGGAAGTAAATATTTTTATGCACAATGATCAATGCCCAGCACATAACTGACAGTTAATAAAAACTGAATAAATGAATAAAAAGTCTTATGAAAGAAAGTTTGAAAAAAATCCTTTTTCCAAACTGATATATGACTTTATCATGTAAAAATAAAAATAGGATTGAGCTAGGATTGCAAAATGCTAATATTTCTGTGATGGTAATTGTGAGCCCAGTTGGGCAGGGACTTTATTTTAAAAGGCTGATACTGAAATATATCATCTCTATCACCTCTAGGTTTTAAAGTCCTCTGCTTTCTATTCACATCTTAAAGTTTAAGGAATTTGGGGGTATTGTATCTTATAATAAAAAGTATTTTGGAGGAATAATTTTTAAAAATTAAAAAAAGAGAAAGAAAACCCTGGATTCCCCAGTATCTTTGATTAACTAGGAAAGAAGAATGGGAAATCAAGGGTTTAAAAAAATACTAGCTACCTCTTATGGTTGTCTCTAAGTGAAAATGAGATATTTACTCTGGCTAATTAAATGTTAGAAAGTGAAAAATTCATTTGTATCTTCATTGAATCACAGAGCAGGAAGGGATCTTAGAATCTTCTCCACTCACCTCACTTTGTAATGAGGAAATGGCACCCACAGTCATGAAGTGATATGCTTAAGTTCATGGAGTTTGGCAACTCCAGTGTTGGGGCTCATTAGTTTTACTTCAATTCAGAAAGAACATTTATCCTGCCTATTATCATACATGACACCTTAGAGTTTTTACTGAATTGACTGATATTTAAAACCTTGTATTATCGCACTGGCAAAATATTTTTTCCATCTTAATTGAGATATGATCATATTTGCTGTTAATACCAGCCCAAAACATCTCAGCCAAATAGGAAGTCATTTCCAAATGCGCAAGTCAATATGGCCACATGGTTTGATGTCAGGCCATCTCCAAAATGAACTAACAATTAAATCAAATGACTAACAAATATGGTAATAAAAGGAAGTTTTTTTCTTTTTCTTTTTTTTTTAATTGACCTGAATGAACAATCTGGTTGAGTGTGGATACCAAGCAGAAAGTATTGACTTCCATTTTTTGTGATAAAAGAACTGAGGCTCTTTTAATTGGTATTTATAGATCCTTAAATGGATTTACTTTAGTTACCACAGTGCTGATAAAATGTGGTAGAGCCCAATGAACTCAGGTACCATTCATTCATTCATTCATTTAATAAAAATTAATAGGTTTTATTTCCAGATCTGCCTTTAAGTTGCTGTAGACTTTTGGCAACTCATTTCTTCTCTGATCCGCAGTTTGCTCCTAAATTCTATAATTAGATGACTTGTTAATTAGCAATATATAGAAGGGACAAAACAACAGAGAAAAGAATTCACTTTCCAAAAATCTTAAAAAATAATCAGATTGACAAAAAATATAGATGCAAAGCAATTAGAAAATAATTCTGAAGTAATATATATTTAGTTGCAAGAAAACATGGGCTATATACAGAAATAAGGGAACTGCGAAGTAAAATAATGATTTTGGTTTTTCACAGAAGTTTCCGTGTAGAATGCAGCCATATTATTTGCTGTATTGGTTAACTATTTTGGATTTGGTCACAGAGTAAGGATTTGAACATTCTGAGTAAAGCATCGGAACCTGTTCAGATTCTAGACTATTGCAAACATAGAATATCTGCCTTTTGGCAACAAAGGCACAATGTCATTATGATGCTATACTGCCAGAAAATATATACCTGTGATTTGGACTTTCTGTGTAACGGCTGTTTAAGTTCCTCTGGCACATGGGAAGTACTAAAAGAAGAGAGCTCAGCTTCAGTATATTGATTATCTTCCATTTTCCTCATTTTGAGGCTATCTGTGAAGTGCCTTATATGATCTAGAGCAGAAAGTCCAGTTTTGTATTCTTCCTCTTTATACCTAAAATGAACCAATGGGAAAGCACAGAGGATTTTTTTTCTTTTTCAGTTTGTTATGCAACCAAATCACTTTTCATTTGAATCTACACAGTTGATGAATGTCATATATTTGCAGTATAAAGTAGCATGCATCAATTATTGGGTTCTTTAAAATGTTTACAAATATTATATTTAAAAATAAATTTCTTTTATGAGTTTTCATAACTAAAGCAAGCATATAGTTGAGATAAAGAGGTAAAGTCAATGACATGTGAAATAAGCAATGCAGTGGAGACAGAATTCATGTCTATAATTTCAATTTAAAATAAAGCCAGTTATGAAAATATTTAATCAGCACCCACTATCTATGTGAAAATATAATATTCCCATCAATTTAACTATTTGTTTAATTTTTCCATTTGAAAACCTATCATTTATACAGATTACATATATATCAAACAAAGTGAAATTTATTGCAATAATATTGGACTAATAACACATCAGATTATTGAATGAATTAGATAATGTTGAAATCTATTTTTCTTTGAGTTTTTTAGGTAGAGTCTAAATAAATGATTGTGTACTTGTGTAATTTTCATTTATCCTTCCGACCTCAGGTTAATCAGAGTTCCATGAACACTGATGTATTTATATGATTGCGGGTTATGTTGATGGCTACAATATTTTCATGTATTTAAAATCAATCCACTGTGTATGCTTTGCTAATTCAAATTCAATTTTTATAATTTATTACTCACAAATTGCTTATCACTTGAAATGTTGCTCTAATGGAAAAACAGAGCAGGAGGAGTTATGATCATGTGTATTTATTCTTGCTTATTTACTAACGTCACCCGAGGCACTTACCTCACTGGAGAAGTCTTGCAACTCATCTCCAGGGCGTTGGTTTCTTCATAGTCATCCTCAGGGTTTCCTTCATGTAAATTACTTGTCACTGGTTCCTTTCCTGTTTTTACAGTAATATCATTGTCTTCATCCTCCTCATCTAACAACACCTCATCTTCTACTTCTTCATCATCCAGTAAATCTGAATTTTGACTCGTCACTAAAGCCTTTTCATCCTTAAAGTGACTGCCATTCATTCTTTCAAAAGCATAAAAAAAAGGGCCAGTTACTTGTTTCATTTTTAAGCATGCATTTAGTGTTTTTATCATGTCTTCCTAACAACAGGTTAGATTTTCAAACTTCTATAGCAAATTTTTATTGTTTAGGCTTTATGGCAACCATGGGAAAATAATGTAACCTCACAAATAAGAAAATGAAAAAAAATAATAATTGGGTGGTTATTCAGATTATAAATGGAGCCTCCAGCAGAACTGGAAAAACAATCTCAGTCTCCTATTTCTTATCAGGCTTTTCTCTGATAAATGATATTGTTACATACGCTATAAAAAGCACACAAATGGTTTCTCTACATAATTTTCCCTAATTACCATGTAAGTACCCATCATTTAAAATAATAGATTTCTGGAAAACTCATATTCTTGAGCAACACTGACAAAAGTTTCAACACGCATGCCTAACGTGAATCTAAGAGTTGAAAAAAGAAAGTTAAGGTAGCTGCCAAGGGCCAACCAGTATTTGACATATAACATTGGTGGTGTATGCCACTTAGACATCTATTCAAACTTGGAAGTGATTGAGAGCTCATTTACTTGTACTATTTTCAAACTATCCTTGATGGTCGGAGTGTAAAAAAGTTCCTTGTTCCTATAATAACATTGGGGTGGGAAATTACCTAAATATGTAATTGTACAAAAATCTTTTGAAGCTTACTTAGTAAGCATGTCTAATATAATGATAAAAAATAAGATTATTATATTTAAAAAGCCATTTGTAATATTTTATTTTGTGGTTTTAAGAATTGCAATGTGATTCAAAAGTTTAATTACATAGAAGTCCCAATTTAATATATTTGAGATCATTTATGAAACTAGAATAAGCTTTTCAGGTGTTAAAATAAATATTAAAATGTGTGTAAGTAGAAGTAAAAATTCAGGGTAAGATTTAAAAGTTATAAAATAATTATAAATGTTTTGAAGCAGAAAATATCTTCTCTTAACCTTCTTCTTATAAAGATATATGACCAGGGAAGTTAAGGCACTTGCCTAAGTTCAGAAAGCTTGTTAGAGATTAAACCATCATAGACATCTAGGTGTCCTGATTCCCAGGCCAGTCATCATTTTTCCATTTGTCTTGTTACTTTACCTATTTACTAATTCGAAAAACTTGCTGAGACTAAGTTATTGTTATAGTCATGTATAATTTTCACACTTAATGTAACTATTTTTCAGATTGTAGAAAATCAGGTATCAGAGATAGACCCCCACCACTTTCTCACATTTAAAAAAATGAGTGTAACTTAATATCTAGATTTCCCAGGGTAAAACAAACAAACAAACAAACAAACAAATAAATAAAACAAGCATGGGTATGACAGATGCTCATAGTAAAAATCCATTTGACCAGCAATAGTCACATCATTAAGTTTTTAATTCAACCATTCTCTTAACCTCTTTTATAAAAGAATGATGAAAACATGTTTTGCACAGACATAAATTATTTTCCAGTTACACTGCCAATTTGCTAGCATTTTTAAATGGATTAAAATTGTTATTTAAAAAAATGAAAGAAAAAGTAAAAGGACAAAAGAATATATGGATGAAAACCAAAAGTAACAAAGCCAACATGATTAAGCAAACCTATTTGTTAATTATGCTTTCAAATATGGCGATTTATGGGGAATAAATTATTCATCAAAAGTAGCCTGATAGGAGATCAGGGGGCAGGAAAAGTTAGATGACTCAGTCTTCTTACTTCTGTGTTGTTTAGACATGTTGGAGCCAGATGTTGTAGCTATATGGTTCACGAATCTCCAATTAAGGGCTAGAAAATCTGAATAGGCATCTCAGAACCCAAATGATATTTTTTGTAATATTCTTATTTGAATCATGTAACTATCATTATCAAAATGTAAGATTGTTATCTTTTTTACTTGTCCTTACTACTTTGTACTTTTGATTATCTGCCTCATCTCTCTCTCTCCTCTGTCTCCCCTCTGTCTCTCTCTCACACAAATGCACACAAACACATACACACAAAACTGGGTAAGCAGAGCAAAGTATACTTCCAACTGTCCAAGTGCACAAGTTTTAATTCTTATAAGATTTCTTAGAGGCTGGGAAAGTCATAGCAGACCTCTCTCTTTTTTCCTTTGTTACACTTTATACAAGTTGAAGGACAGGAGTAGTTATAATTTTTATGTTTTCTTGGAAAATAATGTTTATTTGAAGCTTGCCTTAATGGGAAAACTACTTAAAATAATTCACTTCGACTTTTAACATCACAGTAATACTTGTGTGATGAAAAGTAATGGTACTTTCATTAACTAGTTTCATATTACTTTAAAATGAACAGTGTAGCATCCTAATTTAATAGGCCATTGAATAGCTATGTTCAGAAAAACCTAGTTACAATTAAATATCTCAATATCAGATATTTAATTGTAACTTAAAGATAAGAAAGATTCAGGAGTTTTGATAAATTATAATAATGTTTCATAACATCATATAAAATGTAAAACGTTAGATAAGTGTTAATTATTATTATCAGCAGCATTAAAAGTTTTTCTTCATGAATTAAGCCGTATGTGTTTTATGTTGATAAGAGGGAGCCAGTGCACCAGACCACTAAAAACAAGGATGATCACACACAGTGAAACAAATGTGCCAGAATTAAACAAGCCTCCACTCGACAGCATATAAAGTAATGATAGAATCTTAAGATGTCTAAAATGGTTTCTGAAAAGATATTTAGATGACACTCAATGGGTATTTTATGTATAAATATGTACATATATAAATACAGATACATACAGTCATATATAGTCAGATAATAGTCACATATTATCTGTACTACATATAACCTGTGACATATAGTAGCAACCACTATTGACCAGTGATGAAATTGAATCCCTGTTGTGACTTTCCCTTCTACTTGGAAAATTTTGGTGAAACAGATATATATATAGACTTTGGAATGGGACGGCCCAGGTCAAATCCCACTTACTGCTCGTGTGACGTCTGGCAAGGTATTAATCTTCAATGTCTCTCTTTTTTTCACTGATAAAGTCACTTAATAATAGTCGGTATCTCATAGGATTATTATGGTCATTAAATTAATTGATACATGTAAAATGCTTTAAAGAGCATTTGTTCTAAATCTGTTTTCACTAAATACCAGCCGTTGGTGGTAGGAGCAATAGCAGCGTCACAAAAGTAAGCATAGCAAATGTATTTGAAAACATGTTTATTTCAAAAATTATAGAGTTTAAAAAAGAATAAAACTAGCTTTACCTCTCCTCTGTATTCCTGGGAGACTGGCTGCTGTGGTTGCTATTCCCAATGAAATTTCGAATTTCTGTGAAGTAAGCATCTTCTTTGTCATCGAGAATTGCACCTGTACTTTCCAGTTCAGAATGAGGCGACGATGTTGCTGTACCTGACAGAAGAGAAAGCCTTTTGTGAAAAAGACTATTATTTATATGGAAGTTTATTTTGAATCTTATTCTTTCTTCATTTGGTCAGTGTTTCCCTCCCCACCCCACCCCCCAAAAACAGGCTCATTTGAATATTAATAATAGTAACTATAGGAGGTCAAAGTCTTCCTAATTTATCATATTACACATGCAAATAAAAGTCCCTTGGGGAATATTCTGAACCATTGAAATCATGAGGTACAGTCTCCCAAATATGTTATTTCCCCCACTAGCTTCCTCCTAGTAGTCCCACTGAGACACGGAAACATTTTTATTCATACAGCAAGGAGATGGGGGAGGCAAATTACAGAGAGGTCTTAAATGGATTCTGTACGCACAGTCCCGGGTGCCGTCAAGATGTATTCATTGCTCCCATGCTAAAGTATGTTACCAAATAAAGACTGAAAACATGCTGAAAATTCTGCATTCTGACTTGGTGGACTGAGCCGTGGGTAGACTCAGGACACATAGTCAGAGATTGCGTACAGTATTAAAAGGACAATATTAGATGTGCTGATTACAGGAGGATCTTCAGCTTCCTTACCTCCAAAATTAGAATCATAATGCCTGAATCACGAGATTGTTATAAGGTTTCCATACATTTGTACAATTATAAACACTTTATATTAGTTAAATGTTACATTAACATTTACTTCATACTGTTTATTTGCCCACAAAATATCTATAATTTAATGGTTCATCATAATAGTCTAGAGGACAAAAACAAAAGGTTAGAATATCCCTCATCTTAATAAAGTTATAATATGGGTCAACAAATAAATATTCAACTTTGACACATCACATTTTTAACTTATCTTTTTTTCTGACATAGTTCTGACTAGAAAAATTATAATAGTACACTGTAAAGATGCACACCATTAGAAAGTATAGCCGGTTTTCTATTTTGTATTAGACTTCTGTCTCTAAAATTGGATGTTTTTAAACCATGAACATTATATTTTTGGCTTTGAGGGAAATGAACAGTATATAGCTCTAAGTTGTAGTCATCCACGATCATAAGAAATGTGCCTGTACAGTGGAGTAAGAATTCATAAAAAAATAATTTGCTTAAGTAAAGATCTCTACTTCACATAAATCCAACTTTTTCCTGTTCTTAAAATATCTTTTCCTGAACTCCATGCTTGCCCCCACCCCAACCCCAAGTCACTTGCTTACTTCACTAGAAACAAATTGTGGCTACACAAGTTAGCTCCACAAACATATGCCAGCTGGTAAATATTAATTAATGGCTTATTATCTAATAATCAGAAGCCAAAGAAAAGCTACCATTTCTTCTATTAACTATATGCTGGCAGATCTGGGTTAGGGAAAGTTTTTTTTTGTCACTTTTAACTTAATTCACCATCAGTATTTGTGACCAAAACCACACACCACTAACACTTGCTATGGTTTACTCTGATCATGTCCACAATCTTCTATCACTAATCTCTAAAAGATAACCCTGGAGAGGTTGTCCGAACTCCAGGCCTTCTGCAAAAGCAGCCATAGTTTCTTGGTTACTATTCAGAGCATGATACTCTGGTGCTCCATTCTGGAAATCCTGCCATTCCTGGGGGGACAGGTTCTGTGACAATAAGTGGAAAGATTGTTCCTTGCAATTTAAGAAATCTTGATTTATAAGTCTCCTGTGAGTTTGGGTCATGATTCTCTTTGCTTCAGATTGCCCATTGAGATGAATCCAGAATAAAAAATAATTCAAATAAGGCTCCGAGTTGTATATTATTCAATGACCACATCACTTCAAAGTCTCAACGAAAACATGCTGCAAATTTTCACAAGATCCGAGCTTTGTGTCAGAGTGGAATGAGAGCATAAAAATTATCTTTTCAATTAAAATAATAAGCCATCTTCTCCTCATAACACAACTGATTACCTACCAGACATGTTCCCATTCTCATGTTTCTTTAGGTGTCTGTCTAAGTTGGTCTGTTGACCGAAACACCTATCACATAAGTGACACTTAAAGGGCTTCTCCTTATTGTGGATGTTGCGAACATGCCGCTGCAAGTTAGAAGATATGCTAAATGATCTGTCACAGTATTTGCATCTGAAAAAGAAACGGAAAATTTGCAAGCAAATCAAAAGATATTTTTCAAGACTAGTAACCCTGATATCCAAAATTGTCACCCATAAAACAACATTTAGAAAAAAGGCACAGGCAAGAAAACTATTCATAGTCAATATTTCAATTCAAATTGCCTTAAATATTTTCATGACTTTATAAAATACAATTAATAAAATGTTAGTGATTTGATTGCCCCTAAATTCATTAATCAGTTCTAATATTTTAAATAAACCTCACAAAATTAAAGACATTAAGAAATAGTAGTATTGTTCTATCTTCTTCTTAGGATTGTACAGTTGAATTCTTTATAAACTAATATGAAACAAATTCACATATTCTTCAAATAAAGTAGAAAGATCATTTTTAATTCAAAATTTCAAAGTCTGATTAAATAATTTCTTAGTAAATTCACTTTCTCAATTGCTAATCCTAAAAGAAATTCCTTTATTTTCTCCAAAATAGCAATAAACATTCCAAACTTTTAAAACAGAGGAAATGTGAATAGTTTAGTCTGATGACAAAGATGCTGATTTTCATAATCTGTAGTGATTAGGAGCCCCCGAACCCTTTACTCTATTAACCTAAACTGTTAGAAAAGACAATAAGACTGCCACTAAATTCTCCTTTTGGAATCAAAACAAAAGCCTTCATTAGCCTCCCCTCTTCCTACTCCCCCAATTTTCCATTCCTACTTTTCTTAAAGAGTTTGTGGTAGCTCTAAACCAGGTCAGTTTTCCAGAAAAACACGTATTATTAGTTAGCTAATTGTTTCTGACTTCCATGAGATTAAAAAAAAAATCATAAATTATTTTGAAGTTCTCCTTGAGACATACAATAAAAATGTAACTCCCTTCTACCCCCTGCTCTTAAAGGTGAGGAAGTAAAGTGGTCATTTATGGGGTATTCTCTAGTATCTTAAAGTAAAGATTGCATTATATGTTTATGTGATTTTTTTTTTGTATGTGTGTTGCTTGAAATAAAAAATCAACTTTCTCCAGATAACTTTTAAGTGAAAATTTCTAACTTAGCAGCCAGAAAATCCTCAACTCAATCTTTCACGTATGAAAGGCCCTTCTCCTCCCACTTCTGAATACAGACTCAGTGGCTCAAGTGCTCTATATCAAAAATCACCCCATTCCACTCCAAGTGTTTGGGCTTCTACAGCTGTCTCTACGTGATGCCAGAAGTCTAGTTAGTTCGACGGGGAAAATAAATCTGTTAAACTAGTTACTTTGGCATAGTATCAATAAACCAACTCAATGACTGATTTAATTTTTCCCCCTTAAAAAACTGTTCTGGCATCATGTGGTTCTACAACTTTCCTCACTTACAATATTAATTTAAAAATGTGTGAAACCCCACATTGATAGTAGTTGTAATATTTTAGCGTCAGCTTTATATATGCATATATGCAGTCATGGCTTTCTCTGCAATAACCTTCTTGACTTCCAAGGCCCACTGCAATGAGAATCACGATACAATTAGCACAATTGTGTTGTATTAAGTAGAACAGCTTAAGAAATACCAATACAGAAAACTTATACTCCCGTAAAACACTTTAGAAAAATTTTCTCTCAAAACATTTTCTACACAAACCGTGAGGAAGAGAGATTTTGTTTTTGACATGCTTCCAACTTTCTGCCTGTATAAAAAGGGGCTTTTCCAAATCTAATAAACATCATCTACTCTAATATAAATAAAATTGGCCAATAAGGATGTTCTAACCAATAATGATCTGTTACTTTGTATCTTTCCTTTGCTAATAATGTCTGGGCCAAAAGGTTGAGTGCTCCTAAATAAAAAATCATTCCATTCTACCCCAATAAATCAATAAGTGCTTAAGAGGCTAAGTTTCAGAGATACTTAAAATGAACACAACACAATCACAAGCAGTACACAATTAACAATTCGGATGTAAATGTAAGGGTCACGGGAGCCTTTGGGATCATAGTATGATATCAAAACCCAGACGTGAGCTCCAGGCTTGGGTCTTAATTCTGGATCTATTAGTACCAGATTTTACAGAAGGCAATTAGCCTCTGTGGATCTGATTTTTCTCACTTGTAAAACAGAGGAGCTGGATAAATAATTAAGATTTCCAGCGAGGACAATATTTTTAAAAATACACAGACAATAACAGCACTGTTTATGCGGTAGAATAAAACCACTGAATTGAAACATAAAGAAAAAGTAAAACGAGCATAGATAGTATCATAGTCGCATACCAGACCCTTGGCCACAACAAAATATAAGTGTGGAAATCTTTTCTTTGACTTAAGCAGAATCCCTGGGATCTGAAATTTTCTCAAAAAGGGCAATTGCTTAACACTTTCCATTTTTATATATTTCTGAGACCTATTATACCAAGTTCATCCTATCACATAGAAAGTAGAAATATTACTTTTATAATTAATGATTTATAAAACATTTAGGAAAGCAGAGAATCTACGAAAGTATTTTATTATTTTCTAAGTTTAAGTACCCCTAATTTTCTTCTAAATTTTTCATTATCTTCAAATAAGCATTAGTCTGCCCATTTTCTTATTCTTGTATATAAAAAGTCTTCGAAATCTCATAAATTATTTATTTTAATAAAAAAATGAGCACTCAGACAAAAATAATTTTATACATATGCATTACCTAAGAATATCAAAACAGAATAAAATTATATTACTTAAGATAAATAACATTCATTCTTCGAAGAATGAATGAGTACCTAATACTACATGCAAAGCACTGCACATTAAACAATATAGATTTTATATATATATAAAACATATATACATATATAAAACATATATATACACACATATATACGTATAAAATATATGTGTATACATATGTATGTATGTATGTATGTATGTATGTATGTATGTATATATATTTAGGCGAGGCAACCCTTGGTTGACCTCACAGATTGCAAGGACCTTGTCAGTTTACAATCCCTTATTTTTTTTATTTTTTACGCCTATAGCACGGAGTCTTCCTAGGTGGTCTCCCATACAAGTACTAACCAGGCCCGACCCTGCTTAGCTTCTGAGATCATTCAGGATTGGGTTTGTTCAGGGTGGCATGGCCACAGACTGTAGATTATATTTTAAAACTGGAAGGGAGAATGTACTTTAGAAATTGTGGGTGGAATTGCCCCTCTTTCTATAATATATTCTACTTTACGTGTTCTATCCCAGGTTTAAGGTTTATCCCTTAAATCTACTAATAGGAGCTGTGGACATTGACTTAACTGTACTGAGAAAACAAAGTTATATGTCACTTGTTAACTCCTAGCAGAGATTTAAGGCTGTGAAATAAGGCTGCAAAGTCATGATTACTGTCCATTAAAAGAGCATTGATTAATCAGAGGGAGAGAAAACACTAAAATAATTTTTCAAATAATTAAAAATGACTAACATTTCTTAAAAATTTATTAGATGTTGTTAGAACTTTTAAACTGAGATGTAAGAAGCTTTCATTAAAGAAATCGGGATTCTCCTAATTTTTATCCTTGCCATTATTTAATTCTTCTTTGACTCAAAATTAAATAGACATACATTCAGGCATGCACAAAAGTAGCATCCTTTAAAATTGTAACTGAGTCCTCTTTAATTCGTACATTATTTATCAAGATATTTAGTAAAAATCATTGTCAAACCTGTAAGGCTGCTCTCCTGTATGAGTTCTCAAGTGCCGTGTTAGGTTTGCAGACCTTGGAAAAATCTTGCCACAGTATCTGTTATGAAAAGATGTTTATAAGAGAAAGTTGACTTTATTTCATTCAAGTCACAGAGAAGCCAGATGCTTATTCCTGATTTAATTAATCTTACATGGAACTCACATGTCTTTGGTATTTAAAATTTGCAACAAAGCCATTCTACAGATATAAATAACTCTACAAATAAAGGCTGTGTTACGAGATCTGGTTGAATTGATTATGCATAAGCAAGGAGTTGACAAAAATAGACTTCAGTTTTGATAACCCCCATACACCTCTTTTATTAACTCTGTATCTTTATTTTCACAAAACCAAACCAGACAAGGGAATAAAAAAATGACAAGAGTCTGTGATTCTGGGTTGATGTAAACAGATTTCAAATGTTTCAACTCATTTTACATGTTAACCACAGTGAAAACTCTCTGTACATTGAGCGGTATCAGATCAGACAAGATTCTAAGACCTCATCCATCAAGGTATGTTTCTATAAAACCTTTTCTGAAAACAGAGTGACACATTTTCTAAAGAGCAGATAAATTGATATGCCTGACTCAGATGCCACAAATTTCTGAAGACAATTCAGATATTGTAAGCACAATTTATTTAAAAAAAAAAGAAAACAGAAACAAAAATCAAGCTTTACTGTATTACTGATGAGTAACAAGAAACTTATTAACTAGCTTTCTTCACTTATTGACTTTATTCGTCCTTCATTAATGGCCTTATTCTTCAATGCCATGACAATTAATAAATCTTTGCTTGAGGACAGTAGTATTATACCTTTGGATGAAAATAATTAACTGTGAAAGAAAATTCATAAATATCAAAGTGAAACAAGTAGATAGTATTTGGACTGTTTCCAACCTCATTTATTACAACCAAATGGTCTGTGTTAAAATTCTCATGTAATAATAATTTTTTAAAACTACTATTTTTATATCTCACTAAATAAAGAGTACTTTGAAGTGCTTGAGATCTATCATGGTCGCTATTAATCATCCAATCAAGAATAATTTCTAAAACAAACAACAGGGACTTTGAAATCAGAGGGGAGATTTTTGGAAAGCCAGCCATAATTAACTTTGCAGTTACCTGCAGGTATAGCGTTCTTTTCCTTTCCGTAGAAGGTTCTCTGGAAGGGCATTGGGAGGCGCTCTGAAGTTGAACATGGAGGGAACTGACTGTAGAAGTTCACTGGCATCAGGTTTCAGGGCACTGAAGCTCTCTAGCTTCTCCGCCATGTTTTCAATAGCTGACATCTGAAAAGTAAAAGCACAAGACCATGAAAGATCCATCTGACATCTTTTCTTCTATAGCAGTTGCTAGCAAACCAAGAACATCATTAACAAAAAGGAAGCATCAAATCTACTGAATGCAATAGTCTGTAGAAAGAGGTTACAGAGTCCCAATATTAAACAAACAACAAGAGAATTTATTGATTTTGGAAATAACAGAGCTTATAGAGCTTATAAAATGCTGGGTGGACTTTCTCATAAGACCTTGGTTAGATCATTTTATAATAATCTGCTATACAATTGAGCAATGTAATACATGAGATAATAAAGCTAAATTAGATTTTTATTAAGTTAAATGAGAGCATTCATATTATGTTATGGATACCAATAGTGAACTGGAAATCCTAGGGAAAGGTCCTGTATGCCTGCCTAGTTAATAAAAACCGTAGGAAGCATGGCGTTCCATGAAAAGAACTCTCAGCATGAAAAACATCAAGTGTTCCAAAGTTACAGATTAAGCCAAATGTGTGTAATGCAAAAAGAAAAATTAAATGGGTAAGAGGTGTTTTGCCTAAGACTATGTTAAATTAATATCTGGGTATACTAGATTTTAAATGGGATCATATACAAAGGATTTTGATGAAATATTAATTTGTTCTGGACAAAGATGGAGTTGGAAGGAGAGTTCATAATATTCTAACTTCATATAACATAACTTGGCATGGGTGTTATAAGATAAGGGGAGCAATTAGTATAACCACACTCTTAGAGAAACGTTCTTGAAGAAAAACTACCCTGCCTAATTCTTCCCCTTAAACAACCTAATTTATTTTGTTTATAACCTTCAAGCTTTTGTCCACCTACGCATGTTTTTGACGGAGTCACAATCAGAAAGTGCATTTAATTTTAAAGTTAGCTTGAACCTCACCATCCAGTTACAAGGACTGTCTCCATACCTCCAATACTCCCAAAATGTTAAGTTTCCTCAGTGCTTACATTTTATTTGGAAGCTGCTTACTACTGAACTTTTTAAGTAGAAAAAGCAAACTCTCAGGACATCTTGTTAAATCAACTCTCCCATTATTTATTTGGTTCTCAGGGCACTATGCCACTGGAGAGCTCAGAGAGCTGTTAAAAAGGTGTTTGCACTTTATATGCACTCTGAATGTTTCTCAAAGAGCTGGGGTAGTAGACCAGAAGACTCCATGAAAGGATTAAAAATGGTTAACAACTGCATATGCAAGCAACCGTTCAACCCAAGAGGATGATTTTTTTTTTTTTTTTTTTTTTTTTTTTTTTTTTTTTTTTTTTTTTGTGTAGATAATGCTAGAGACATTTTGGAAAAATTTTTTTTTGCTGATGAGATGGCAGGACAGATTTGGAGAACTAATTTATAAGCTCGGGTTAAAAATAAAAGGCAAAACTTCCTATTCAAAAGGAAAATTAACAAAATAGTACATTTCATGGACACAAAGCTGGACAGAATACCATTTTGACTTCTTAGACCAGAGCAAATTCTTCACAGAATGGTCTGAACATAATTCTTTTCTTACAAAGGAAATATTTTAGGTTGATTCTTTAAATGGCTATTCATGTTGTAGTTAGCTCTCTTTCTTTTCCCTTCATCCTGGAGCCTGCCCTCCCATTTCATGCCCAGACTCCTAATGCTAGCTACAAATTGCAACGTACAGGGTACCACTGCCAATTTGCCAAATGTCTTTCTTCAAACACAGTGCAAAAAAATCTCAGAGGAAAGTCAAGATACATTTACTTGTCAGACGACAAATGTGAACGCATCGGGAGGCGGTAGGGGCTATAAGCTCAGGGGTTTGATTCATAATCACTCAGCTGCTAAAACATTCTCCACAGATGCAAGCGGACAGCACATTTGTCACTATGAAGGATTTTGACACATACTGATCACAGGGCAGAGATATGGAATGATGATGCTGCTCAGAGAGGTTGGCAGAAACTCTGTCCCTGCAGAATACGGTCATTATCCCCCCTCTAGCCAGAGCATTAGCATTTTCATATTACTTGGAATTTTATTTATTAAAAATCAATCCAGAAATATTTTATGATACTATTTTATTTGCATTTATTCCTTCTAATTGTTCCTTGCAGAAAATCATTCTGATATTCTACCCTCCGTGGAATAAATTGTCTGAATGAAAAATGACCTCTGGCCTTCAGGCTGATTAGCAGTAACAAGCCAGGGTAAGGGTCATGATCGCATATATTTATTGGACAGAATAGTAAGTGCATGGGTGATGATTATAAATGTTTTATTTATGTACATTTAATATTTGAGTAAAGTTTCATTATCTAGTGGTTTTAAATCATTTGAGTGTCTGCCCTGCTGACACACTCAGATTCCTGTGGCGATACATCTTATAGAAACCCTTTTCCTTTTATATGGAAAAAAGCTTACTCATGACTATTATTATTCTCAACTTTCATCTCTAGCTCATATAAACTACAAGTCCTTCAACTTATTTAAGAGCAACTGGCTGTTGAGAAATGTGTCTTGATTTAGTAGCTGCTAATAGCTCCTTTTGAAGAAAGATCACTGTGATTACCTCAAATTGTTTTGATTTGGGAAAACCATCAAGAAACAAGAAAATATATTATGAGCTTGATGACTCAATAACAACATTTTTAAAGATAATAGGAAGAAGAATAGGGGTTACCCAAGTGTCTCTCTTATAAGCCACCCCCACCTTGGGCTTCTGGTGTCAAATTAAAAGAGGATTAAATTGGAGTGGGGAAAAGGAGAGAAGGAAGATGGGAAGGGAGTTGAGGGTAGCTCTATACACACACACACCCCCCCCCACACACACATACACACACACACACACACACCCCTTCTGTCTAGCTAGCAACCACTGAAGCAACATAAAAGCTATCACTGAATCCTTCCTTTCATCTTCATAATATTTGCTCTCATAGCACTTGACTTCGGCTGAAGAGTAAATTTTCCCATTAAGACAGATAGAACTGACTTACACATCTGCCAGTTGGGGTAATTTGGCAATGTTGTGACTATCAGCCCTAATCAATATCTTACATTAAGGAGTTGGATTAAAATGAGCTTTATCTACCATATGGGTCAAAACTCTGCCTTTTCCTGACTATCTGGGCTGACTTATATAACATTCCTTTTATAAAAGTAGTAAGCTTTGACAATCATTTTAAAGTCTGACGTATTTTAAAAATCAAGATGAATTGGAATAAATGAAACAGAATCTAGCTATATATTTTTTCAGTTAGGAAAAATCCAATGAAGAAGGCAATGTGCACCACTATGAATAAGAAATTTGTTGAGAACGGAGAAAATAAAGGAGGAAAAAAGTTAGATTGTGTATTTTAAAATGTATTGCTTTGTGTCCTATTAATGTCATAGCTTAATCTCTGATCAGTAAATGAGTTTTTTTTTCTATGGAACAGTTATCTATATTTACATATATAATAGCTGCTGATGGTATCTGCAGCCAAATGTCGGGAAGAGGAAGTCATTTCACCCCCTTCCAGTCCCCAAGAGGCTATTAACTTTATACTGACGCAAACTAATATTTAGACACGACTCCCTAGCTCTTACCAAAAAAATGTAGCTATTATCTCTAGTCAAATAAAGTTAGTATTTTTAAAAACATGTCAGCAGGCAAGATATCATCAACTGGGTCCTAAGCGCTTAGCTTAACATTTATTATCTGGCAACCAATAATTGATGATATAAAGAAGTTTCTCATTTAGGCTGTTAAAGTGACAATCTGATTATATGAAATGATATGTCTAATGGCACCATGAATTATGTGACCTAATGTTTTACAAATTAGATTAAATAAGCCTTATCATAAAATAACTTTTCATAAAATAACTTTTCATAAATAACTTATGATGGGAAAATTTGTAGATTTGGTAATTTTCTATATTTATTCACTTGATAATCTTGAGAAATCTCAAAATCATGGGCATTTGGGGGAAGTAAATATTCATATTTTATGTTTATCTCACTCCATGTATCACATTCTGCAATCATGATTATGAAATCACTTAGAATTTTTTACCATTGAAAAGTAAAAACATATTTAATATTTCCCACTAATATCTATGTTTTATAAAATAAATATAAACCATAGCTCTGAAAAACCTATCGATCAGTGGAATGGAGTGTTTCCCAAGCATTCTGATGGTAGTTGCTATACCATTGCCTTATCGGGAGTCTAACTTAATATCTGAAGTTGACTTCATAAGTTGGTGGAATCATTGGCTGTATATGTAGAGGATAGTACCTTATGCTTGAAGCAGCTAACAAAGTAGCTACTGGCAAGTAATAATCTACCTGGGAAAAGATGAGGCCCATGAGGCACGATACTCAGGACATATCTCTGCCAGAGAGGCAGATGAGGAACACTGGAAATACAGGCCAGGATAATCAAAGAACAACCCCATCTACTATACAATTTTGCCTAAAGCAATGTCTGTCTGTCTGTCTGTCTGTCTGTTTGTCCAACTGTCTTAAAATGAATGAACTTAATCCTTAAACGTCTATCAGGATGAGAAGAATCACAATTCATTACTTAGGTCTGCGGACAAAATAAAATGGAGAAATTTCTACTAAAGGAAAAACCAACATCAGATAGAGGAAACAGGTAAAGGCTAAAGTGCTCCAACTTAAAATAATTTATATACAATTAGATGGAGACTAAAGGAAAGTTGAACTATATCCCAAGATTTTACCCATACCTCAGAATCAATATATTTTGAGTGGAGAAGAGAATGAAGAAGTAAAAGCACATACACTCTTGTAAGATATGTTATTTGTATATATTTCCATTGACCCAAGGTTTATTTGGAAGTGGAAACTAAATAAGGGCTATTTTTTTTCTTGAATAAAAGATAAAGCTGTTCTCTAATATCATTAACTCAGAACTGACTGTATCTGTAAATAGAACTGAAAGCTGAGGAAGTGCGAACCAATGCTAAAAGATTTATTCATTAGTTAGATATGGACTTTTAAAAATATTTAGTCTTATTTCTCCATACTGCTAGAACCAAGTTCTGTTCTAGGATATATGGATGTGAATTCCAATATCACCTTGTGTTTACACATAAATTCAGGTTTTATCTTTTTGAAAGCTTTATCAAAAGCATCTTTAATATGCTGATACGGGCTCCCCAAAACAATGGTTGTTTCCACTTAGTGATGCATCTCAAAGCCTCTTTTAACAACATGCTCCTAAGCACCCAGAAAGAGTTCTACATCAAGGTATAATTATGTAATGGGTCAGATTTATAAAATAAACTTCTTTCTGTAAACAATTTATAGTACACTAAATGGCCAATTATAAAAAGGATTTTGCAGCTTGACAAGCTGAAAAAGTATTTTCTGAAGCCATATCATTTAACGGAAAGGGGCTCAGAATTCTTTATGTCCATATAGCAATTTAGAATATAAGTTGTTTTCCTTTTAATGCTATATTACTTTAGTTAAAAATATAAGTAAGAAACTTACCCAAGTTCTCTGATCAGGCAGTTGGAACTGGGAGCAAAATTGAAACAAAAACAAAAATTACTCCTGTATCGGTATCTTTACTGCAATCCATCCTTTGAGAAATTAACATTTAGACTAATTTAGTAATTTTTGCTTATCAGGTAACTATACCTTGAGTAAAAGTTTGCAAATAAAAATTAAATATCTGTATAACACTGTTGAGTTTCCTCTATTTACCTAAATTAAATTTTAGGATCAAGGTTGCAAACCAGAATATCCTTTTTCCCAAGAAAGCTAAACACTGCCTACTACTAACTCTTGATTAGCAAAGCAGATACTTCCTTTTTACCTGTTTTTACTCATTGCAAAACGATTCTTAAATATTATTTTAATAACTAAAAATTAAGTAATTTCCTGAAAAGAATGTGGTCTCTTGTATTTTTATGTTGTTAATAATAAGAAAATAAGACGTTTACCCAAATATGAATCACTGAGTAACAAAAGGTATTGTTTTTTGAAATGTATTGTTTGATTTTTATTAGTATAGTTCTTAGACCATCAGTAGTCAGAACACATGGGGATATTAATTTAAAGAATGACAAAGGTCTAGTTACGACAATTTATTATAAGAATCAGTGGAGAAAACTTCAGTAGTGAAAAATTCTTCCAGGAAATATAAATGTTATACCCTTAAAAATGTCATTTTGCGAACATGGTTCCATAGTATAGCAGTTAGTATGTCTGCTTTACATGCAGAAGGTCCTGGATTCACACCCCAGTGGAGCCACAGTCCATGGTCTACAGCCATGCCACCCTGAACAAGCCCAATGTCTGATCTCAGAAGCTAAGCAGGGTCAGGCCTGGTTAGTAATTGGATGGGAGACCACCCAGGAAGTCCAGGTGCTGGAGGCATAA